TTGAACCTGCTGATAAACAATGCGTTATCATTCAGTATGCCTGCCAGAGTGCCTTACGACAGAATATCCTAATCCGATAATCTACAACTGCAAGACTAACAACCCGTGAAGATCCGGGTTAGAATTGATCTTCAGTACGTAACCCTTGCTTGTCGTAAGAGGCGACTAACGGGATCGGGTGGTCAGGCTCGCCGGCTTGGTTGACACATGTTCGGTTCCCAATTGCGCAGATCGATGCTCATGCTGTTGATCACTGGATTGTCTGGTCCAGAATCGATTATTTACAGACCGCCGCCATATAGGTGGAATATTGCTGAGTGCGGCATCAAACTAAACTAACTCACTCACTCAGACACCCAAACAAAACCGGAATGCACTTATCCCTGCAGATGAATTAGGCCAGCAATTCTGTAAACAATTCTGTAATTGTCACTTCACATACACCGTTAACGCACGTTTAGCAGTTGTAAGTGCAGATAGGTCGGTACGCTAATTGTAGTACTGATGGATTCTGATTTCGATGATGAATCTACATGTATTTGGTATTTGCAACATTCAAATTGCCAAACTAATCTTTAAATTGTGTTTGTATGCGAAAGTTATATCATTTAGTACAAGACAAAATATTATGGATGTCAACGTCTTCTGTATTCCATACACAACGTTTCTGGGCTTTTCCTTGTCCCAGACTTTTAATTACTTAATTGGATTTTATACTTAATGATGGTTATTTATTACAGACCGCCGCCATATAGCTGGAATATTTCCGAGTGCGGCGTAAAACTACACTCACTCACTCATGACTATCATATAACCCATGGAATGTTGTATTACATATTTTATTTCCCTTTTTGAAAAACGATTAATTCCATTTTTTTCCATGTGAAGCAAATGTTTCCAGCCTTGTTTAATACGAAATATATTAAATACCCACAGCGCTGGCCAAGGGAACTATCTGAGTGACTAATAAATATAGCATGATACAAACCAAAAAATCATTGTCCTTAGCTTCAGGGCGATATCGATCAGCACACACCTGCTGCGTTTATTGGTAAATCTATGATCGACCCCAGTCGATGTGACCTGTCCGCTGACTTTACATGACATTAAAATGTCCAACATCAGAATATATCGGGATTGGGTGACTCCTAAGTCGGGGTCAGCTTGAATTATGCGAGACGGGGTCGAACAATTAAGTCGGGAGGGGTGAGAGGACTGTGGGTGGGGGTTACAAGGCAGGAGAATTCACCTCCCGGTCAGGCCTTTCTACGGAATGCATTATGTAATAGTGTTAACCAGGCACCTGACATTTGGAAACAATTGCAACACTCAGCTGGGTACGACGCCTATAGTGACGATATTTATACTCACTGTGGAAACAAAATGAATACAATGTGCTAAGCCCAATGCTAGAATCCAAATGGTGTGGCTGAAATATTGCTAAAATAGAGAAAAAAATTACCTCACTCACTCATCCAATCACCCAGTCGCCCAGTCACTCACCCACTCACTCACCTACCCACTCACTCATTCACTCACACACCCACCCCCACTCACTCATTCACTTCACACACCCACCCACCACCTACCCACTCACTCACTCACTCACTCACTCACTCACTCACCCAATCACTCACTCACCCACACACACACACCAACCCACTCACTCACTCACTCACTCACTCACTCACTTTCACGAGACTTAAACATACGCCCTTGATTTTGCTGTCAGCGTAATGCTGCATGGTATCTCATTACTTACCTATTGTAACGGTACTGGCAATGTAATAGTATCGTATAACTAATGTGTTTTCGTGCTACGTGTCTTATTACCGTTATTTGGTGTCCAGATATTGCGCCGATATCGTGTTACCATCAATACATTGCTGCCAATGCATAACAGCACCAAACCCCTGGGAGCATATCCGTTATTGTTTGTTTATATGTTTGTTGTTTAGCGTTCAGCAACAGCCCGATATATGACGGTGGTCTATAAATAGCTGAGCCTGGACAAGAGCATCGCGTGATTATCATTATGAGCAATGACGCTATCTGTTGGGGTATGGTGACATGCATGTTAAACAAGGCTAACTGTTTATCCATACAGTAGCATTGACAAGCATATTCTATACATCTGGTAATCCATTCGATTACTTTGGAACGATCAATGGGGTTTCATTTGGTTTGTTTGTACCATAGTCGTGGTGGGGCGGTGGGGTAGCCTAGTGGTTAAAGCGTTCGCTCGTCACGCCGGGTTTGATTCCCCAAATGGGTACAATGTGTAAAGCCCATTTCTGGTGTCCCCCGCCGTGATATTGCTGGAATATTGCTAAAACCAAACTCACTCACTCATTGTAGACGAAAGTTTTGAGCCCAAGTCGTCTAGTGTGCGAGTGAGTGAGTTTACGCCGCTTGTAGCGATATTCTAGCAATATCCCTGCTGATATGTGCTTCACACATTGTACCCTTGTCGGGAATCGAACCCAGGTCTTTAATAAAACATAAACACAATTTAAACCCAAAAGGACCTCATGAAGATGGGAACCTTGCTTCATTTAGGACTTCAGCATTACAGAAAGGTCAGGGCGATAGTGAATATAATACAGTTTAGGGACTGTGAGACAGTCAAAACGCCTGTTACGGTGAGCCCTGCCAGATTAGATAGAACGCCTGACAGATGGTACTCATTTCAATCAGGTTTCCATGTCAGCTTCAGATGAATACGGCTGACATGTGCTCCAGCACATTTAAATTAGCACATGCACTGCTGGCAAAAGAAAGAATACTCTGGGAAATTGGATTTGATCGAGAAATAATCCAACTGTAACAATATAAGCTGGAGACAGTTGGCGAAAACCGAACTGCACGCTGAATTATACGGAGATATTTCGCAGTGATACAGAGCGCCATACCATGTCACTTAGACTTGCACAAGTCTCTAAGGTATTAATTAATAGTTTAAATGATAATTTCTATAAAAAATTATAAATTACAGACTGGGGTCCTGTCCCCTTTTCTAGACTTGCCTCTTTAAAGGATAGCATTACTATACATGCATGGGCTTAGCAATCAGTACAGACTTGGAGCATGGCTACCTGTCATTATGGCCGCCAGACTGGCTACTTATCAACAACTCCGCTTCAGTTACAGAGGTCATTGTGACCTGGGTTTGTCACGTGAGCAGTTTTTTGTCCATCATTTCTGACATGGGCAATGCAATGTGCGTGTCATATTTTTGTGTCAACCTGTTTTGGAAACCCATTAGCGTGGAAACCCCGGTTTTGAGGACACGTATGACAATACGGTTGGACGGGTATATCTAGAATGCTGTAACTCCATTAGATCTCTCTAGATCCAGTAGTTTTACTTTATCTTTGAATGTCGAGATATTTTCAGGATGTCAGATTTTTAAGGATGTCAGAAAAAACAACACTCGCTCAACAATTTACTAACAGTGTACGAAATTGTTCTTTAAAAAGTGAAATTGGTAATATAATTGGCGATGTGATGTTTCCTATTCATCCGGCGAACGCACGCAATCTGATTGTTCCACACGTGGTTGCCATGTTTACCCATCTTGTTTGCTATAGCGTAATTAGATTCTGGTCACTTCTGTTGTGAAACTCACATAGACAAGAAGGGACTTCCCCATGTAGCTGTATGTAAAATGTACATTGATGTATTTTATCTCATATTTGTTGATTTGTTCACTGTAAAATGGTGCAGTAACTGAACGTTTGAAGTGATCACCGAGGATCGTATCTTGCTGGAGACAGTGATCAGGAGATGCATGATGTACTCAGTCCATCCACTTAGTTGGTGTATAGAGGGGCGCTGGGGTAGCCGAGCGGTTAAAGCGTTAGCTCCTCACTAAGATCCGGGTTTGATTCCCCACATGGTTCAATGTGTGAAGACAATTTCTGGTGTCACCCGCCGTGATGTTGCTGGAATATTGCTGAAAGCGGCGTAAAACTAAACTCACCCACTCACTTGTAGGTGTAAAGAGCGGTAAGTAGCGTCACGTTGTACAATTTGCAGAGCCTATTTCTGGTGTCCCCGACGTGATGTTGACATATCATTGCTAAAGCTAAAGGCGGCGTAAAACCTATCTCACTCTCTCATCATGACCATTTGGTTTGTTTGTACAATATTAAAGGGGCGGTTGTTAAAGCGTTCGCTCGTCACGCCGAAGACCTGGGTTCGAATCCCCTACTCACTCAATTATTATGAGCATTTGGTTTGTTGGGACCATAGCTGGTAGGGCGGTGGGGTAGCCTTGTGGTTAAAGTATTCGCTCGTCACACCGAAGACCCGGGTTACATTCCTCACGTGGGCACAATATGTGAAGCCAATTTCTGGTGTCCCCCGCCTTGATATTGCAGGAATATTGTTAAAACAGCGTAAAACTTAACTCACCCACTCACCATAGCCTAAGGGTTAAACTTCATAACGCCCTACGTCAGTTCAGGCTTTCCTCATACACGCTGCGATATAACGGATATATTAACACGGACGCTGTCATTTTATGAACCATGAAACAACATTGCTTAAATAGAAGAAAGTAACTATGATATCATACCGCGAAGATAAACAATTGTAAGCTTCATCAACAATACAACAAAAGCGCATCACTTGTTTCAACATTGCTGACATGAATACATTAGCCCATTCAAGCTGTTCTTGTCTCTGTCGCAATGGTAGTGCTTTCCAACAACAAATGTCAGGGTTGTTATTAAGCATTTATTATGTATCCCGTTGGGCTAACCCTACACCTGTTGTTCTTTGAGTGCAATTACCCAGAAGCAATTACGAACGGTTCTTACATTAGTGTGTAAGCTTTCTGCGCAATGCCCTGAGCGAATATGGCACTTACGATCTACTTCTCAATATGACATGAGAGCATCTGTGGATGTTCTACCCACAGAGAACAGACACATCAGTTTACCATCACGTGTAGTATATAAATATATCTTACATTTTTCTGTCAATCATTGTTGCAGACGACAGCGCACGTGCGCGGCTAGCGAACGACTTAGATGACGGCTCCTTCACAATGGAAGAGGAAGACGCTTCCGGTTTAGCGGAAGGCAAGGATGGCAAAACAGCCAGCAGGGCTTGTTTTCTGAAGATTAAAAAGATTCTGAGGACTATTTACAGGGCAGTGTCCTCCGTTGTGGGGTTGTTAATCCTCCTGGTCGTGTACTCCGTCATAGGTGCTCTGATATTCCGGGCTATAGAAGCTCCACATGAAAAGGAACACAGAGACAACATAACGTCCAACAGAGAGGAGACTCTGGAGGTGCTGCAGGAACTGTCGTCCAATTTAAGTCGAGGGTTGGTGAACGAGACGCAATGGAATCTCATGGCAAGAGGGTTGCTGCTGCGGTACGAGGAGACGGTAGTCATTGCTCAAAAGAATGGCGTGGTCAACTCGACCAGTACTCCCACCTGGACGTTCTGGCAGTCCATGTTCTTCTGTGGGACCATCTACACCACGATTGGTAAGTGGACCTTTTCTGATTTTATAAAGTTTAAAATATGCCAGTGGCTTTTCTGAGATATGATCTGTTTGTCTTTAACTCCGAGGCCATTGCGTTCAAAAGAATAGGCACCGGGGCAAAGACTTTTATTGTCCTCATCCACTAATGGTTATCGTAAGATTGGACTACGATTGATCGAGTGGTGAGGCTTGGTGACTTGGCTGTTTCATCGTGTATCGATTACTTGGGTCATTGCTCATGGTTTCAGTCACCGTTTTTTCTGATTATTAACAAGATTCCGTCAAATGCTAGATTATATTATCTAACTGTGGCGTCATAACAATTAAATACTCAATCGTGATATTAGCTAAGCTAAGGTGAGGTGATATGAAAAGTGGTTCGGCATGTCTGTGCTTGCGTGCGTTTGCCAGTCTGGATTCATGACAATCCTATAGTGGAGACCGGCTGCGATGCCATGCTTCAGGTTGACACTGATACCCTCTCAGACACAGCACGTTGACTCTGAACCGACCATTCTTTGTTGTATTCTCCTAATGCGTGAGTGAGTGAGTTTGGTTTTACGCCGCTTTTTGCAATATTCCAGCACTATCACGGCGGGGGACACCACAAATAGGCTTCACACATTGTGCCCATGTGGGGAATCGAAACCGGGTCTTCGGCGTGAAGAGCGAACGCTTTAACCACTAGGCTACCCCACCGCCCCCATTCTCCTAATGCCCAACGCCAGGCAGGGTGACAACAAGGACCACATTTTAACGAATTTTGGCACGACGTGGCCTGAGGATCGAGCCACCGATCTTCAGTTCTCTTCACTACACCACAGATCGTAACTGTAGGGGAGGATATGTCGTTATAGTGTATGGCTAATCTCAGTTGCGTCAGTTGATCTGTTACATTAACACTGGGTAACGGGAGGCCAAGTCACCTAAGGCGCCGCAATTCGCTGTGCAGAGTTGCCTCCCTTCAAAATCCTGTGATCGTGGGTTCGAACCCCGGTTCGCCTCAAGTTTCTAACCTTTTCACCAATGTTTCATCAAAGTTGTAATATCTTAGACCAGCCTCATTTTGGATTTCCTACCGCACCAAGCTGACACGCCATGATGTAACTAAACCACTGCTCAACCCGGGACCCGTGAAGATCCGGGGTAGAATAGGTCTTCAGCAACCCATGCTTGCCACAAAGGCGACTATGCTTGTCGTAAGAGGCGACTAACGGGATCGGGTGGTCAGGCTCGCTGACTTGGTTGACACATGTCATCCGCTCCCAATTGCCAGATCGATGCCCATGATGTTGATCACTGGATTGTCTGGTCCAGACTCGATTATTTACAGACCGCCGCCATATAGGTGGAATATTGCTGCGTAAAACTAAACTCACCCACTCACTCAACCCGACGTTTAACCCAATTTGCTTACTCACGATCACTTCAGTATTAAGCCCTCCAAACACCTGTTCACACGCAGTGACCCATCGCCGACTCTAAATGAGATCATTAGCATTGTTTGTAAAGTGACGATACCCTTTCTACAAGCACTAGAAATCTCTGCTAAGCATTGCAGTTCACCTAATACGCAATATGAGATGACAATCTGCAATGTGGCCATACCATAATTAAGACTAAGATCTTCACATGGCACATCAAGCCAAATTAACCAACACATAAATGTAACTTACAAATATAAAATATTATTTACAACAGAAGTAGCTCATCTGACATAATGTCAGAAAGCGTTTCTCTATGTGTTGAGGTCTCACGATATTGTTTGAATTTTGCCGATTTAATCTGAGTGGTTTCACTCTCTCTCTACATGAAGTGATGTTTCAAAGTTATCATTGTTGAGCCAAGAACGTTCTTAAACCAATTTCCGGCTCCAAAGTAAAAATGTTGTTCTAATGCTTAACAAAAAAATCACATGTTCGTCTTTGACCTAAACAGACGAAGGCGACTTTTGCCGCCGTATTCATGCTTAATGGCACAAAGTGAGTGAGTTTAGGTTTACGCCGCTTCTAGCAGTATTCCACCAATATCACGGGCTTCACACACTGACTATGACATATACATGGGGGAGTTATCGGTTTCTGGATCCAGCGTGTTAATGTCAGAGACGGTATACTGTTACACACTTCTACACAAACAAAGAACACGGTGTACGACACAATACATAGTTGGGAAATGTCAATGTATAGAGTATCGAAAAGAAAATCCAGGGAAGATTACTCCAAGAACCATACAAACTTTCTTAATCTCTAAACTCTGTCGATTGTTCAGACATGCCGGGGCGGCCGGTGGGGTAGCCTAGTGGTAAAGCGTAAGCTCCGTATGCCGAAGACACAGGTTTGATTCCCCACACAGGTACAATGTGTGAAGCCCTTTCCTGGTGTACCTCGTCATAATATTGCTGGAATGTTGCTAAAAGCGGCGTAAAACTATACTCACCCACTCACTCTTGGCGTCATATATAAGTCTGTCTGGTTTCAGTATAATTACGTGAAATAGCATGTATATCTACAAGTGGGAATCTTCCATCTATAAATTAGAGTGAGTGAGTGAGTTTGTTTGAGTTTAACGCCGTTATATATTAGATCAGGTGTCAAAATGTCAAGGTAGCCTAGTGGTTAAAGGGAACCGGGTTCGATTCCCACATGGGTACAATGTGTAAAGCCTATTTCTGGTGCCCGCCACCGTCTTATTGCTAGAATATTGCTCAAAACGGCGTAAAACCATACTCACCCATTCACAAAATGTCAACACGTGTCTGCAAGGCCCTTTGACTAATCCGACAACTCGTTCTATTCACTGGGATGTCTAGAGTGGCATAACTGCCGCATGTAATTAAGTAATAATGTCAACAAACCAATCTACTTGTTCTGGCAATGTAATGTCACGGAAAGAGATGCCATTTGTCATTGAATCAGCAGCCGATAATGACGCTGCACCAACGCCCTAATTTGTCAAATCTGCCCTTTGACGTAGGAGGTATACGAACCATCAAATTAGGTACCCGCTCTCAGCACGATGGAATGTATACCGTAAAATTTGTGTAAAGCAAGAAATATGCTTTGAATGTGGCAAAATGTGCATAAGAGAATAATACACTTTGTTATGTGTTGGGTAGAATTTTCTGATGGTAAAATTGTTGATGATAGGCCCTTTCGTGTTTATGTTTGTTTTGTTATCTTAGCCTTGTTTTCTTCTAGCTGCATGTAAATATTCCTTTGATTGACATCAGTGTTAAGACGTGTCAGTCAGGTCAGTGAACCTGGCCTGGCCACTTCCCGTTAGTCGCCTTTTAAGACAAGGTGAGGTGAGGTGAAATTGGGTTTAACGTCGTGCTTGAAAATATTTCGCTCATATGACGACGTGCATGCGTGTGTATGTGTATGTGCGGCTGCTTGTACTAGCCTAGACTGAAACTGGTTTTATAGTGCTAGCCCACTGAGATACCATGCCGCAGTGAAGCATGAATACATTATACTGACACATTATATTGACTCCGAGCCGACCAGTCCTTGTTGTACCGAGCGCCAGACAGGGACCAACAAGTCCCATATTTTAACGTCTTTTGGTATGACACGGTCGGGGATCGAACCCGCGACCTTCCGCTCTCCGGGCGGACGCTCTAACCACTACACCACGGAGGCGGTCCTTTTAAGACAAGTATGGGTTGCTGAATACTAATTCTAACCCGGATCTTCACGTACGCTAACTGTTGACCTTGTATTGAGAGGGAATGTAGTTTTACGCCACTCTTTGAAGGAACTTCAGTTACAACATGGCTTGAGGTAATTGATGCCGGTTTAATAAAACGGATTACCAAATTGGTTATAAGAATAATAATGGATACTTTTAGCGCGCCATTATTCACCCTCTGGTACATTGTCAGTGCGCTAAACCCATAGCACGGTTGTTGATAAATTCACGTAGAACAAAACTGAATCCATTATTCAAATTCATGATGATACCAAGTTTCAGGAACGCTTTAACACCATAACTCTACACAACCGGACCTTTGAGAGACAGGGATTTGAAAGGGATGTTTGAGTACCTTCGGCGTGCCCGATACCGTTAGGTCAGTCCTAAATATCTATGATCTGCAATGCTTTATCTCTGGAATCCTGGAAGGGACATTGTCGCGATGTCGCATTGTCGCCCTTTGGTGGAATAGAAAAATATTATTCAAAACATGCGACATCGCGACATCGCGACATCGCGACAATGCTACAAATGGCCGAAATGTCGCATTGTCGCGCTTTGTCGCATTGTCGCATTTTGCTTTGGTTAATTTTGCCTCATTTTGCTTGTTTTGATCTCCCATCAGGGCGACAACGCGACAATGCGACAACGCGACAATTTCCCTTCCAGGATTCCATATTTATCTCCCACGTCTAGCAAACTCGCCTTAAATATAACCAGATACTGTTCAATGCGGCCTTTACCCAAATCACTCATTCTTCCCAACAACCATAGCCAACTTCAGTGCCAGTGGAAACATACAATAAAAACAACAAAAGCATTTCCATATACAGAAGAAACACATGGCGATTCCCACAATATCAGGAGAATACGTTTACGAATATCATGGTATGTGTTTACGAATAGATATCACAGAATGATGGGAAATGTGGAGTGGCCAAGTGGTTAAAGGGTTCGCTCGTCACGCCGAAGACCCGGGTTCGATTCCCCACATGGGTGTAATGTGTGAATCCCATTTCTGGTTTATCTCCCCGCCGTGATATTGGGTGGAATATTGCTAAAAGCGGCGTAAAACGATATTCACTCACTCACAGAATGCTGGCACAGGGTCCACACAGTCCACCCCATCACAGATGGGTATGTGTCGAGGGAACATCTCAGCCCCGTCCCAACACCACAACATTACACAGAGCTCCAGATAAGGGCCGTATCGGCGTATGTACAGATAAAAAATATGCACGATACGGTAGGAAATAATTTAGAAAACGTAGCAGATAAGCACCACAGCAATTGTGTACGGTCTTA